GACTTTTATTATAAAACACTTTTAATAATATAATTAACTGTTTTTAATAAACACTTTGTAAAACAATAATGACAACTTCATCTGACAGGTAATAGCTTGATTGAAAGACTGACAATAATTGTATACACGAATAGGTAAGTTTATATAGTAATATGCTAATTAGAAGATTGTTACAAACGACTACAAAATAGGTTTAGAACAAGGAAATCAACTAATCAACTATTACTTATTAATATTGCAAAGTAGTTAACTACGCATTAGTAACTAATCAGTTCACGGTGTTATTAGGAAATAGAATTAAAACAACCTTAATGTGATGTCTTTATGACGACACATTAAGTATTCATAAAAAATACATAATATAATAATTATATACGAGTAAGCGTCAGCTTACTACAGCCGTTAGTACTTTTTATACTGTTATGCTTGGAGGCCGTGTGAGGATGGAAGAGGGTAGGCAGAACAGAATTAACAACCGAAAGTTAGTAATAACTTTTAATTTGAATGTTAACTATGAAACGTTTATCAACACAATGTAAAATAACAGTAAAGTATTGGACAATAGGTCACTTAATAACAGGACGTTGAGCTGTAGAATACTGGACGACGTCTGACGAATTAGCCCTGTTCGCAGTGGGTACTTATAATGGTCGGTTGGCCCTGGATGGTGATAGTTGGACACAGAACTAGACCATTGATAGTAGTGTTCCTGGATGTCGTCATATGTAGAACACAGAGACGTAATAGTATAATAGTTCCTAAGTCTAAATAAGGAGTTATTTTAGATAAATGTCCATATAGGGATTGTTATCGCCGTATGGTTGTAGCAAGTATGTTGAGATTAATTGTAGTGGAACACAAAAGAAATAACAAACAAACACTTTGAGTAATAATAGAGTTAATATTATAGACACAAGTTAAACCAATAATAACAATACAATATAGATACATGTATAAGTCAGAAGTAACAAGCACATTAACAAAATAGTAGCTGTGGAACGAGTGTGTCCCCTTGTCCACATACAAAGGTATTTATATCATAAATCTAGGTTAAATCAATTCATACAAAATACTTTCTAAGATTTCACATACAATAGTGTCTTCCTCGACATACTAAACTAATCACATTAAAACTACCTTAGAATATTAATTACATTTCAACAAAGTAGAATGAACGTGAAGGCTTTTGCGTCACAATACTTATATAATACAATATTACATAGTATCTACTTAACTTTATGTTTAAAATGAAAACAAATTAGCGAAAATGACATAATACTATTTTAATTACTTACCAAATTACTGTGTGTTTCTTTTTCTTTAACAGTTGCTGTTTTAATTATATAATCCATATCATTGAACCACGAAAGTGAATGCTTATAAACATAATCAGTTCCTCCGCCACTAGCTTTACTTTTACTTTAATTGGTACGATCCAATATTATCTAAGTCTATAGGTAACGATGTTCCTTTAGATAAGACCAATTTTATTTCTTTTAAATTCTTGTGTAAGTCGTTTACTGATGAAATAGATGGATGAACTTGACATGTCGGAACGAGATTGTGTGTTTCAAAAGAATATTGTGAGAGAAGTAAATTAAATAATAAATACGTGTTAAATATAATATCAATAATTTTTAAGTTTTCTATGGCAATAATAATATTTAAACTATTCGTAGATAACATTATTAAATAACGCTCTGTATCATTAACCGTTATTGAAATATTGGATTCTTGGTTTAAATATTGTAAACCTGCCTTTACAATTGTAGTAAGCCCGGAAAGGGATTTACATACATAAAGTATATGAGGCAAAAATTATCCAGACACAAATCCAATGTATTGGAATCGAGTCAATAGGGTCGTTATGCTCTTTAGAGCATAACATATAATCCAAGAGGACTGTATAGAGTTCGCGACAATTGAATTGGTGATTGCAAGCATTATTTCTGGTGTCTCTATCTTCTATCTGAGGCTTTCTTGAATAATATTCCGGACGAAAATTGATAGTATCTTCAAAAATGAATCATAATTATTATAATGTGCATTATTTTTTCACGACCAGCTTAGGCGATGAGCTTACGGTAAATACAAATAAATAATAATATAGTGTTAAGAGACTACTATAGCATGTTTTTAAATTGATAAGAAAATAACTTTACTCAATTTGAAAATAATAAATCTATATTTTTTTAATTTAAACAATTGAACGATGCATTTTTATTCTTTATAATTCAAGTTTTTACATATTATATTGTAAGAGATTTTCTAACACCTTCAGTCAGAAAAAAACCGTATACAACTGACTGTATTTCTTGTTCATCGGGAATCGGATCGAGATTTTCAAAAGTTTTGAGATCGACATCTCTCCAAAATGTAGTTCGTCGTTCACCGCATTTTTTATAATTTATTTTTACGGTTTCCACAAACCAACAATATACTTTACATACAACACAACATCACACGAGTTCAATCAGTCCGAATCGGTCCCCGCCGCCAGAGAGCTCGCTACATTTTTGGCAGCTTCCCACTTTTGAACTTCAGTAAGTGAAGCGACCCACGCGACTTCTTCACTTTAGGGGCCACTTTATTTAATTGAGTTACTCCAAATTCACCAGAGGCGTAGCCGATCGTCCGAGCCGTATTCGCCAAGACTTTTAATTGCGCCGCACGCTGATCGCGATTCACTAAATCGACGATTTTGGCGTAGGCTGTAGAATAATTCACTTAACACTTACATTTCTCTGAACGGCTTGTATAAAAGAATCATACCTGTAGAAATAATTGTTATTGATATAGGTTTTTGTTTTAAATAATAATAATAATATAATATACCCTGAATATTTTTCGATCCGGTAATGACCATGAATATTTATAGTATCCAGCAAACTCGGTAGACACGTGTAATATTTTTGTACATTTCGTTGAGCACAATACTGGCGATCATGAATTTTTATATCATAATGAAAAAAGTATGTATCCATTTTTATGAAGCGAGAATGTTCTTTAGCAATTTCTACGGCTGCTCGTAGAAATTGCTCGTACACCATTCATGGAACTAACGTTCGGTTTCTTCATCAGACGCATTTTGTAATAGATGAAAAAAATAAGCCATATCCGCGTTAAATTGTTCCATGATTTGGTTTTCCATTATTATACTAAGTAAAAAGAAAAAAATAATTTTGTTTAAATTGTATTATTAGTCTAAATATAAACTAATAAAATTGTATTATTAGTCTAAATATAAACTGATAAAATTGTAATATTTAGATTATAACAACTTATAAATATATAAAATTATATAATATAGTATCACTATAAAACATACTCAACCACGCAAATACTTGTCTACACACAACCCAATAAGAAAGGTGAAAAATAAAAAAAAATAAAAAATGATTAGAATAAGAGATTATAACAATAATAATAATAAGTTTATAAAAAAATTATATGTATAACTGGTGCGAAAGAGGGCCGTCTTGACAACGAGCTACCCCACTTCAATCGTATACTCCAAACCCGCGGAATCTTGATGCCGGTGTCCTTAAAGAGTATACCAAAATTCGAAACCGACAACGAGATCAGCGTTAACGTGTACGCTTGGGAGGAGAACAAGATCGTAGGGCCGCTTTACTATACGACCGAAAAGCGGGTGAGCCACGTGAACCTGATGTACGTCACATCAGTTAACCGCACCGACGGTCATTATGTGTTGATAACAGACTTGTCACGCGCCGTGGGGAAACAATTGTCTAGGCGTGGGCACAGAGCGTTTCTGTGTGACGGTTGTCTCCTCACGTTTAGGAACCAAGCGGCGATGGATCAACACGAATGCCGGCGGTGTTGCGTTCTTCTTCCATCAACCGATAAAAATATCGTCGAGTTCTTCAATTGGAAAAACACCGTTCCCGTTCCATTCTGTATCTACGCAGACACCGAAGCTATCCTCAAACCGATCGCCCCCCCCCCCCCCAACGCCGGTGGGACATACGACATCGCGGAGCACGTAGCGTGTAGTTTCGCTTACTTTGTCAAGTGCGATTTCGATTCGACACTTGACAAGTTTGAACTCTACCGGTGTGCGAATTGCATGGCGGTGTTTGTGGAACGGTTGGAACGGGACGTGAAGGCCATAGCTCGACGGTATTTTTCCCCGGTGGATATGACCCCCCTTACCCCCGCGCAGCAGGCAGTGCACGATGCGGCGACCGCGTGCTACGTCTGCCGCGAACCGTTGACGCTGGCCGACAAGGTGCGGGACCATTGTCACCTGAGCGGACGATACAGAGGCCCAGCTCACAGCGCATGTAACTTAAAACTGAGAGTGCCGAACTACGTACCGATCGTGCTCCACAATTTTTCGGGTTACGATAGTCATTTTCTCACCACCGCCCTCGCCGACGACACTAATCAAATCCAAGTCATCGCCAAGACCAAAGCAAAGTACATTTCGTTGTCTAAGTTTCTGCGGTTGGACGACGAAACCGGCGGGAGTCACACAATCGTCATGCGGTTCATCGATTCATACCGGTAAGACTGATAAAAACAAAGCAGTAATTTTGGTCTACAATAATGGTATTTCTGGACAGGTTTCTGCCTTTGTCGCTGGATGAAGCCGCGCGGTCGCTGACCGACGTCCAGCTGGTGAACACCAGAACCCGGTTTCCGGACGATGGACAGTTCCGGTTAATGAAAACGAAGGGGTATTGCCCGTACGAATACGTAACGAGCGCAGAGGTGCTTGAGGAAACCTCCACTCGACGCCTTCCTGAGTCAGTTGACGTTGTCCACCATCACAGACGAACAATACCGCCACGCGCAGACCGTGTGGACAACGTTTAACTGTCAAACACTAGGCCAGTATAGTGACGTAAACATGTGCGGTGACGTGTACTTACTGGCCGACGTGTTTGAAACGTTCCGGAAGTTTATATATTATAATCTAGGTATTCCTTTTACTACGCCAATGGGCCTTGATGCTATTAGATCAGGTTCTGTTAATATTGAAGGTGACCTAGGTGATACGCCTAGCGGCTGATATTTAATCGGCACCTGAGGGAAAAGACACAACGCGTGTGGATTGCTTATCCCTGGTGCTAAAGACAAGAGTGCTAAAGGTACGTTATTACGGTCTTCGCAATTTAATAAAAATTGAGCCGCTGACACTAAGTGACTTTCAAATTGTACCAAATCAGTGTTGTTAAACCATGTGCTACCAAGCTCATTTGCCCCACATAGGCACCATATTAAAGATTTATGATGTCTGCGGTGTTGATTAATCCTATCATGATAAATTACTTGGCATAGCTTATAGAAAAGGAAACTTAACCTATATTCCGTAGGACTATGGACGATCTTCGCTGCCGAATCGACCTTCTGGAATCGTGCACTACTTATGGAATCGTATCCTCGAGCACTACAGCTCGATCCAGCTGCGTATCTGACGACCCCTTCGTTAGCCTGGGATGCGATGAAGCTAATGACAGGGGTCAAAATAGAGCTCATGACGGAGCACGAGCAGGTGCAATACGTCATGAAAAACATCCGCGGGGGGTTGGTCCAATGCAATCAACATTATGCAAAGGCCAACAATAAATATATGGAGGACTTTGACTCGACGGAAGAGTTATCGTACATCATGCAGTTAGACGAAAATAACCTTTACGGGTGTGCGATGAGCCTTCCGATTGGTGAGTTCCATTTCTTAACCCCGCGGAGCTCGCAACTTTTGACCCCCAGATACGTCACTCATTACAGGTGCTTACAGCAAGGCGTTGCCAACGGGGTGGTTCTCCGGAGAATCCATAGCGCACTTCGGTTTCGGCAGCGTGTTAGGATCCGTCCGTTCATCGAAACGAACACGAGATTGCGCGCTGTGACCGGGACAAAGTTTGAGGGCAACTTGCCAAAACTCATGTCGAACTCGGTTTACGGCAAGGCGCTCGAGAACCCTGAAAAACGACCCAAAGTGCACATTGTCACGCGCTGGAGAAACGTCAAGCAGAGACTAGGAGCCGGTGTTTTGATAGCTAAACCCACGTTCGACAGCGTGGCGATCTTTACCCCGTCCATGGCGGCCGTGCAGATGACCAAATCGGTTATCAAGTACGACCGGCCGTCATACGCGGGTTTCGCCGTGCTGGAGCTGTCAAAATACATTCTGTACGACTTCCATTACGGGTACATGGTACCCAAATATGGCTCTAAAGCGCGTGTCATCTATGGAGACACGGATAGTCTGTTTTATTGGGTTGAAACCGACGATTTTTATGCTGACATGAAGGCTGATATCGACAAGTATGCACGGACCGCTTTGCCGGTCATTTACACAAACTAATGGGTTTATTTTTTTATCCAGGTACGATACCAGCAACTTCAGTCCGGACTACCCATACGGAATGCCTTTGGTCAACAAAATGCTTTTATGGAAGATGTAGGACGATGCTGGTGGTAACATCGTCCTATTATTCATCGGCCTTCGGAGCAAGTCGGTACTGCTCCGATTCGGTCGAACCGTCGATGAATAAAAAAAAGCTGAAAGGCATTCAACGCGCGGTCGTGGAAAAGACGATCACCCCCCAAGACTACTACGACTGTCTCGTTATCCCAAACCACAAGGTAATGAGACAGACGTGTACGTTTCGGTCGAAACGTCATAGGTTGACCACCGAAATGTGCACGAAACTAGCGATGGAGTACAAAGACGACAAGCGGTACCAAATACCCAATTTGTTTTTGACACTCCCCTGGGGTCATTATCGTATCGCAGACGATGAACCGGACATTGACTAACCGGTGGCGGTGACGATGGATTTGACAGTGTAAATTAAACCAAGACGGACTCTTTTTGTATTTAATTTTTAGTTTTTTATTTTGTAAATAATGTATAATGATAGTCAAGACCTGTCTCTTTTTGTATTTATTTTTATTTTTATTTTTTTTGTAAATAATGTACCAAGATTGACTCTTTTTTATTTATTTTTGTTGTAAATAATGTATAGTAATAATACAAATTAAACCAAGACTTCTTTTTTAAATAATTTCCCTTTAATGATAATAATATCAGGTAATAATATTTGCTAGTACAAAATATACATAGTTAAGTGTGTGTGTGTGTGTGTGTGTACAGGAAAACATCAGGTTTGGGTATGCGTGCACAGTGCCGCGGAATAAATTACAAACCGATGAAAGTGTGAGTTATTTGTTCAACATATAGCCAGATGAATACAAATTTACATATTCGTACAACAAATATATATATATATATATATATATATATATTATTGCATAAAACATAATAGAATAATTATAAGTTTGGTACAATATTTGACGTTACCGTCCAATGTTTTCATCCATCCAAACGCGGAGGGCTAAACATTGCGCCTTCGCACAGGTTTTGTTTAGAGCGCGGTCCGAGTGAAATGGACATACGTGTTGTTGTTGTTGTTGTAGCATCCGGCACTTGGGACAGCCGTAAGCTTCCAGGTCGATGACCGTGCACTTCGGTAGATAGCGTTGTAGGAGGTCCCGCTTTTGGATGCCTTTGACGTACACAGCAGTGTAGCGGCTGTTAACGGCGCCTAGGACGCGCGCCAGCTCCGAATACGGTATGTGACCGTCTGTATAGTGGGGACCGTGAAAGTTTGTTTGCAACCAAACGTTTACTTTCGTGCTTTGCAGTGACAGCCGAAAGGTGGGCGGATGTTGAACCAACCAATAATGCATCACGTGTGTAGCTCTTTGCGCGTCCGCTATGCATATTTCTTTGATGACCATGCGAAGGTCCGAGTCGACCACGCACTGAACGTCAATAACCGCTGAAAGCATATTGTCAAACTGAGCTATCCGTTCGTTTGATCCACGCATTATACTTGACGGGCAACCCGACGTATTTCACGAACTGCTTATCCCCCTTCCTCCAGACAATTGACCGTGTGCAACGATTCGCAACATCCGTTTGCGGATAGCTATGTCTCAAGTTTCTGTACGCCCAATGTCGTCCGCGCACCGATCGTTCACGTTAACCTTTCAAGGTACCGCAAGCGAGCTGGTCAGCACGTTTTTTCCCCCTATCCCGTTGCGGACCGGCGCATTGGGCTATAACACCCGCATTGTCGTATCCAGCGCAATTCCTCTTTGATTCCAAGAATTTGTTTGTATCATGATCAGTTGTGGTGGCTACACCTACAACGATCAAGCACGTGAAAATTGTTATTAAACGCATTGTTTCGTTTTGAGTTGTCGATTTTTGTTTTAATTTCGTATTTTAAGAAACACAATATTACACTTTGTTGTCGCTGTCACTGGTAAGTAATAACATCAAGTGCAATCCGAGTTCACTTTTAATTCACTCTACTGTTGTCTACTAACTTCTGTTCACTCTACATTAACGCGCGACAAGAACTCGTTTTGCACCGTGCGAGCACCGACAGTGATGCTCTTCAAACGAGCGCCGCCGCCGCAAGCGTTGTGTTGAATCACGTTACGTGGAGAGTGCCGAACGTTAATGTAAACGATTCTGTTAGATTGCAGTTGCTCAAAGCGTTGGACGCGAAAAAACCGTTATCCATCGCTTTCCGTAGCTGGGAGCTATTCTCTTATCCATCGCTCCCCCGGTCGAACAAACATTCCTGGGCGGTTAAGACGAGCACGCACACGGAAAAGCCGCGATACGTGATAGTAGCCTTGCAGACCGATCGGAAAAATAAACTCGCGACGAACTCCAGTCAGTTCGACGGATGCGGGTTGACCACGTTGAAAGTATATCTCAACTCTGAATCGTATCCGTACGATACGTTAAAAATCGATTATGGCGGTGATAAATTTTCGTTTTTGTACAACATGTATGCGAGTTTTCAAGAATCGTATTACGGCGTTCCGGTCGGAGAACCGTTATTCACCACAGCAGAGTTTAAGTCGACATCCCCCATCGTCGTTGTAGATTGTTCGAAACAGAATGATTTTGTTAAGAACGCGCCGATTGACTTACGTATAGATTTTGAAACGGCTAGCAACGTGGCTGACAACACCGCTGCTTATTGTTTAATCGTACACGATAAAAATTTTGAATATAACGCTTTGACTAGCGAAGTGCACAACATTTTGTAATACCAATTGATAAAACATTACCTGTTTTTTCAGGTATTTTATCCATTGATTGGACGGGTAACATACGAAATGAATACACAGTTTTTTTTTTTTTTTTAGGTACATTACACATATTCATTTATTTTTTTATCGTTCGTCAAGATGGTATATAGTATAACAAACATACACATAATATTAATCATATAAAAACAGAATTCGTTGTTACATTTTTTTATTTTTTTTATTTATGTGCCCGCGAAGCACAGGGCCGTCCGCCCGCCGTTTAGTGTTGCTGCTGCTGCTAGCGTCGTCATTTTCTTCTTCTTCTTCTTTTCTCTCATAATCGTCATCGTCGTCGGCACTACTACTACTACTTTCAGTCTCTTCGTCTGTGCTCTCCGCGTCGCTGTCGGGTAGTTCCATCACACTCGACGTGGACGACGATCTGCTCTCCTCCTCCTCCGAAGACATCGTTAGATCTGGTGATAATGTAATTGGTCAATTTAGTTTTATACACACACACACACACCATGTACTTACCCACTACGTCGGTTAACGAGAACACCCTCTCTATTCGCAGCTGTATTCGCCTCACCGCTTCCGCTGCTGCAGCGTCTACCTCCTGTTTCACATTTTTTTTTTTTTTTACTATACGCTTCTTATATATATATATATATATAATTATTCCCTTAATATAAAATCGACTTACGCTCATCAGTAGTATCACTGGCGACCCGTTGTCGTCATCATCATCGTCGACGTTATGCACCCAATTGGTACTAAACGGTGGCGGCGAATTTGGCAGCAATGGTGGTGAATATCTGTAGTGCATTTTGATTTGGTTGTATGTGTGAATGTGATTAAATGGTTTAGCGTGTTCGTTTATATATGGTGTGTGTGGTTATTTCGTCCCTCCATTTTCTTTGTGTTATCATTGTACGCGGTCTAATGGGAAATAACCTTATCAGGTTTCGACCGTCAGGTCATCCACACTATCGCACGGTGGTGGTGGTGGTGGTGGTGAAGCAATGCTCCCACCGTCTGACTTGATTACTGGTGTAGTACTCGTCTTCTCCTCCTCCTCCTTCTCCACCACGTCGTTCCTGTTATAATTACTATGTACTAAAATATAATCAATAGGTTTTTTTTTTATTTTACTTACTTATCTGTGTAACCGTCAAGTAACTCTGCTAAATTCCATTGTGAGTTAGGCATCATCATCATCGTATTAACATTTTCTCCCCATATTTCGTCGCACAGCCGTTTGTACTCTATGACCGTGTTAAGTCTGTGGCCTTTGAAGACTTAGAACACAAAGGTTGAAGATGGAATTTGGAAGTTTTTAAATGAAAAGAATACTTTCAATAACAAAGATAAAGTAAGCTATGTATTTTAACAAGCATAAATTCAGTACACAAACAGTAAAAACGAGTGTCTAATAGTAGTGGTATAAATCTGAAATTTAACCGTATTCTTTAATTATTATACTGGTCAAAACAAACTTGTGATCTAATTAATTTAGTTAAAACAATTAATCTACTTTTCCCGTTTGTCAAAGTGATTGAAAAGAAGTGGTCTAACAATGTGTTAAAAGACATTTTTAATAAACCCCTGTTTAAGATTATATAAGATAGCATAAATGTTTTGGAACCGTAATTTTGATAATAAGTTTTTTTTTTAAGTAAGGTATATTCTATACAGAAATATCAAACGGTTATAATATTCGAATACTACCGTACATTTTCCAATGAACTGGTCAGCCTATACTATTCGTTATAAGCGGTTTAAAACTAGTTATTGTGTTGTAACATGTGTACCTTAAAACGGTTTGGGTAACATCACAACGTGGCAACGTTGTAAAACCCCGAAAGGAATGCGGTTTCAGTATCGACCTTGCGTCGTTCCATCGCATTACCTGTATAGGTGTTTAAGGAATGCCGTAGTAAAATGAGTGGCCCTACGTGGTTTTTTGATTCTTGGCCACTGTTAGTGTGTAACCGGCCATATCCCTGTGTCGTTGTTAGAATTATTTCAAACGTTATGTGTTGTTTAAAACAAAAATATATATTTTTTTTTTAAATTATCTTTTAAGTTATATAATTGTTACTGCTAAATAAATTTGATTTTCTGAAATACATTAATACATATTTTCTCTTTTTTTAAACGTTAAAGTAAAAGCATAATATAAAATAACTCATATTTAAAATATGCGTCAGGCGTCCTTACGCCATCTTTAAAATTATTATTTTAAAAATTTAAATAATTCGTGGACTTACTCGGGGTGAAGAATCGCACACCGAATCCTGATTTTACTAAGGAAATTGTTTTAAGAGTTTACAGTTACATTCATCATGGAGAAACAACTACAGGTTAGTGAAAACTATTTTATCTATGTGCAGTGTTTCAGTGAATTAAAAGTGTTTTTTTTTTTTTTAAATTAATTTGAATTAAAGGTGCAATAGTACAGAAACATGACGGTTCTAGTATTAATTTTCTTCATCGGAACTAGAACTGAAATATTTCTTTACATTGTTTTTATGAACAACCACGTGTTTGTTTCCCCTTAATATCTGTATGTTGTGAGATCCTACCACTTCTGTTACCTTGTATGGGCCTTTCCAAAGCGGAGCTAATTTATTTCTTTGAGTATGATCTATTTACAAAACGTCATCTCCTACTTCTAATTCTATTGGATTAATTTTCTTATCATAGCGTTCTTTTGAATCTATTTTTTTCTTTATTAAATTTTCATCGAAACAGCAGCAGCAGCAGCCGAAAAGATTCATTACCTGGCATTATCGTCGTCGACGTCGTCAAACACAGTCGTTGAAAGTCCCAGCTTTGGAGTGCCGCGTCAATTGATTTTGTTTCCTCGCTTTGCGGTGTCGGTTCTGTGTCGGCTAGAGACCGTAAGTACTCATCCTATATAAATGTTACTATTCGCTGGTGGTCGAAAATCAAAAGCTCCTTGTAAAATGGATGTTTTTTTAATAGACAGTCCCTGTATAGGGATTAATGCTCTCTTACCGTCGTTGCCATTATCGTCAGACATTATTTTAAATAAGATTGTCCAAAGTAGCCAACAATCCGGTAAACTTATCGTGTTCCATACACAAGCACGCTGTAGCACATACTATAAGTATTGCTTGTTTGTATGCACTGTTAATTTTTGACCATTCGCATCCGATTCGAATAAATTTCGATATCAGCTGAGTATGAACCGTGTTGATATGTCTTCTCGGCAAAATTCTTATTTCTTTAATTTTGCGTAGCCACTCATAGTACACACACACACACACACGAGATATCACTTCACATCTAGATAACCGTTTTACCAGAACTTTTCACGACGCACTACTGGTGGTCTCATTAAAAAGCTCCCTTTTATGAATCTAAGCGTTTGCCCCAACATCCAATGATATTACAGTTTGTGTTTCGAACAAATGCATTTAACGGTTTGTCATGATTATTTTTTTAATATTTATATGTTTGTTTTTTTTGCTACAGGATACACATTAGTTTCTTCTTTGGATCAGTTTACCGTAAGCTCATCGCTTAAGCCAGTCGTGAAAAAAATAATGCACATTATAATAATTATGATTCATTTTTGAAGATACTATTAATTTTCGTCCGGAATATTATTCAAGAAAGCCTTAGATAGAAGATAGAGACACCAGAAATAATGCTTGCAATCACCAATTCAATTGTCGCGAACTCTATACAGTCCTCTTGGATTATATTTATGCTCTAAAGAGCATACCGACTCTATTGACTCGATTCCAATAGATTGGATTTGTGTCTGGATAATTTTTGCCTCATATACTTTATGTATGTAAATCCCTTTCCGGGGTTACTACAATTGTAAAGGCAGGTTTACAATATTTAAACCAAGAATCCAATATTTCAATAATGATATAGAGCGTTTTTTTTTTTTTTTAACATTTATTATTAAATACAAGATCTGTAATTATTATTTTACAATAAGCGTATGTGATGGAGGAGACATGGCTTAAGTAGGTAGGAGATAAGAAGCCACCCATTGGAGGCATTTAAGGGTAGGAGTTTATTTTAAATGTGCTAATGTGAGATAATGAGATTGAATACAAAATAAAGGGGAAGTAGAGGTATATACATATTTTAATTTAGTCGGTCACGACACCAGGTACGTTTAAGTAGGTAGTAAGGTTAGTTGTCATTTTTGGTTTTAATGAGGCTTGAAAGAACTGTGGTGAGGAGGGAAAGAAGAGGATTTATTATTGATTTAAACTCATCAAGAAATTTGAGGAGTGAGATTTCATTATTGTTTGTTGGAGTAGGAATTGAGTTGTGTTGGTTACCCTCAGTTACATTTGCATACGAACGTGGGTTTTCAGTTGTTGGTTGTTGATGGCAGGTCTCTGTTTTGGAGTGTGGGTTGAATGTTGATAGTTGTTGGGGTTTATTTATGTGTTAAGAGACTACTATAGCATGTTTTTAAATTGATAAGAAAATAACTTTACTCAATTTGAAAATAATAAATCTATATTTTTTTAATTTAAACAATTGAACGATGCATTTTTATTCTTTATAATTAAAGTTTTTACATATTATATTGTAAGAGATTTTCTAACACCTTCAGTCAGAAAAAAACCGTATACAACTGACTGTATTTCTTGTTCATCGGTAACCGGATCGAGATTTTCAAAAGTTTTTAGATCGACATTTCTCCAAAATGTAGTTCGTTCACCGCATTTCTTATAATTTATTTTTACGGTTTCCACAAACCAACAATATACTTTACATACAACACAACATCACACGAGTTCAATCAGTCCGAATCGGTCCCCGCCGCCAGAGAGCTCGCTACATTTTTGACAGCTTCCCACTTTTGAACTTCAGTAAGTGAATCGACCCACGCAGACTTCTTCACTTTAGCGGCCACTTTATTTATTTGAGTTACTCCAAATTCACCAGAGGCGTAGCCGCTCGTCCGAGCCGTATTCGCCAAGACTTTTAATCGCGCCGCACGCTGATCGCGATTCACTAAATCGACGATTTTGGCGTAGGCCGTCGCTGTCAATTCGGCTGTAGAATAATTCACTTAACACTTACATTTCGCTGAACGGCTTGTATAAAAGAATCATACCTGTAGAAATAATTGTTATTGATATAGGTTTTTGTTTTAAATAATAATAATAATATAATATACCCTGAATATTTTTCGATCCGGTAATGACCATGAATATTTATAGTACCCAGCAAACTCGGTAGACACGTGTAATATTTTTGTACATTTCGTTGAGCACAATACTGGCGATCATGAATTTTTATATCATAATGAAAAAAGTATGTATCCATTTTTATGAAGCGAGAATGTTCTTTAGCAATTTCTACGGCTGCTCGTGAATGTCTTAACTGATGGCTGGACTAATGTACTGGACCTGTCTGGTGATGGAATAATTAATTAGTTATAAGTTATAACTGCACCTGAACCAGTATTTTAAAAAAGTGTTGTGCCAGGGATAAATCGAGAAACAGCTGAGTATATAAAAGATTAAATTGCATCTGTTTTAAAGGACGTTGGGCCAGAAAAGTTTTTACTTATATGTACAGATAATGCTAGTGCTATGAAAAGTGCTTGGGCCAAAATTAAAGAGGAAGACGAATTCAAACATATATTTTCTGTGGGCTGCTTATTGTGGTCGTAAGGAGAGGGTTGATTGAAGGGTAGGTTAGGTTAGGTAGTTTTAAATAAAGAGAAACGGAGTTAAGCTATCACGGATGATTATATTTTCATAAGTGAAAGTAAACATATTAAAATACTGGCGAAGGCCGTGGAAACCGTGTAACGGAAGTGTCAACGGTTTTTGTCCGGCGGCGGCGGCAGCCGGTGTCCGTCGGGCGAGCGCGGCCTGTCGGACGATTGGAAGAGGAGGCGGGCGCGGACGCCGTCCGGCGGTGACAAGTGTGATTAGCACCCGACTACCGCCGACGTCGCGATGCGGCCGCATCATACTCCCCCCCCCCCAGTCCGACAGCTCGGGTTCCTCCCTCAGTCCGGCAGCTGGATTGGGCTGGTGTCCAAAATGGCGACGTCAATGTCCGGCGCGACCTCCATCAACTCAATCGAATCCGGCTGGAGGAAATTAAATTCCCTCCATTCACCTGCCGGGTCCACCCGTCGGCCCAGGTTGACGACAGGCTCCCTGGCCGTCGACGGTTGTGCGGTCGGCGGTTGATGAGTCGGTGGCCGGACGGGCGATGGCTGGACGGTCGGTGGTAAAACGGCCGGTGGTGGTGGCTGCGGTTGCGGCTGAACGGCCCGGATGGGCGGTCGGCGGCTTGGGGCCGTAAACGTCCCATAACATCGCGCACGCTGTGGCGATGGTTGGAACGTTCCGCCGGCCGGCTGGTCGAGGCGGGCGTCGCCTAGCTGTGGCGTGCCCCTCTTGATGTCTCTCGATCTCTCTTTCGCTTCTCGACCAAGCACCATCGCTGAGGGAGTATTACCAGAAAGCCGGTTCTTTCGGTTACGCACTGCGAAGAGTATTGCTGGTAAACAGCTGTCCCATTGGCTGTGGGGCAAAGGGAGAAAGATAGTATTAATGTTTGCGATCATCGTGAATAACGGTATGCTTACTGGTATTTGACGATCTGGGTGGCGGTGGTGGTGACGACGGCGTCCCAGGGATGACACCGACCGTATCTGACACTTGAACGAGTTGACGTTCAAGTGAACTAGACGCGGCTTCCCAAAGATCATCTAAACCAAGAAATGGGAGGTAGTAGGTAGGTACTGTTGAAGGGTTGGACATTGTCGACAATGATGTATGTTCAATCGACAAATGATCACGTTAGACATCGAACAAAAATGCTGATGTACTCGATTTATTGAAAATGATAACCGATCACGCCACACGCGGGGTGAATATATAGGGTCAAATTATTATAGATATACATACCAGTAGTGCAGTATATGGTAATTAAAAAAAAAAAGCAGACAGAATTATGGATAGGCATCAAAGTGTTGCAAATAAATAATGGGTCACAAGATTATCCGGATAAAAAATGTGCAATTGCAACAACACCTGTCCGGCGAATGCACTATAAATACCGGCGCTAACGATATATATTGTCTTTCAATAACCGGCAAGTTCATCCTAACACATACACACAGTGACAATGGCCCAGTCTTGTCCTGTATGTAAGTTCACGTTTGCTAGACGAAGCAATATGCTACGACATCAAAGACAGTTCAACCATTACTTAGGTATAAACGAATATGGAAATATGATTAAATCAATTAATATCACCCTGACACGTTATTTACAGTTGGACCGCATCAACCCGGATCAATTCAGCAAACCCCCGACGAAGGTAAGGAAAAAAAAGAAATAGATTAGTATTAATTATAGGTATATGATTATAAGTTGTATAGATATATAAATATTTTTTTTTTTTTACGCAATCAAATATAACATTGGGATCTGGGTAATTACAGTACACATAGACTTGACCGTGGATGATGATGATGAATCCGTCAATAGTATTTACAGTGAACCGAGTAAGTAAAAAAAAAATCATAAATAAATAGAACAATAAAAAGAAAAGTGAAATATCATTACAGCGACCGCGTCTCAACACACTGAACATCGTCAAATTCATGTTGATGTCGAAGGTAATTTAAAAAGAAGTATAATATTATAGGATAATTCTATTTGTTATTTAATTACAGTATGGATAAACTTGACTACAGAAGAAAATAGTGAAGCAGACAATTTTAGTAACATCGGGGAAACAGGTAAACAAAAACAAAAATAATGATTTAGGTTAACTAATCCGAGTAAGTAAAAAAAAAATCATAAATAAATAGAACAATAATAATAAAAGTGAAATATCATTACAGCGACCGCGTCTCAACACACTGAACATCGTCAAATCCATGTTGATGTCGAAGGTAATTAAAAAAAAGAAATATAATATTATAGGATGATTCTATTTGTTATTTAATTACAGTATGGATAGACTTGACTACAGAAGAAAATAGTGAAGCAGACAATTTTAGTAACATCGGGGAAACAAGTAAACAAATAAATAATGATTAAAGTTAACTTATCCGAGTAAGTAAAAAAAAAAATCATAAATAAATAGAACAATAATAATAAAAGTGAAATATCGTTACAGCGACCGCGTCTCAACACACTGAACATCGTCAAATCCATGTTGATGTCGAAGGTAATTAAAAAAAGAAATATAATATTATAGGATGATTCTATTTGTTATTTAATTACAGTATGGATAGACTTGACTACAGAAGAAAATAGTGAAGCAGACAATTTTAGTAACATCGGGGAAACAAGTAAACAAATAAATAATGATTAAAGTTAACTTATCCGAGTAAGTAAAAAAAAAAATCATAAATAAATAGAACAATAATAATAAAAGTGAAATATCGTTACAGCGACCGCGTCTCAACACACTGAACATCGTCAAATCCATGTTGATGTCGAAGGTAATTAAAAAAAAGAAATATAATATTATAGGATGATTCTATTTGTTATTTAATTACAGTATGGATAGACTTGACTACAGAAGAAAATAGTGAAGCAGACAATTTTAGTAACATCGGGGAAACAAGTAAACAAATAAATAATGATTAAAGTTAACTTATCCGAGTAAGTAAAAAAAAAAATCATAAATAAATAGAACAATAATAATAAAAGTGAAATATCGTTACAGCGACCGCGTCTCAACACACTGAACATCGTCAAATCCATGTTGATGTCGAAGGTAATTAAAAAAAAGAAATATAATATTATAGGATGATTCTATTTGTTATTTAATTACAGTATGGATAGACTTGACTACAGAAGAAAATAGTGAAGCAGACAATTTTAGTAACATCGGGGAAACAAGTAAACAAATAAATAATGATTAAAGTTAACTAATCCGAGTAAGTAAAAAAAAAAATCATAAATAAATAGAACAATAATAATAAAAGTGAAATATCGTTACAGCGACCGCGTCTCAACACACTGAACATCGTCAAATCCATGTTGATGTCGAAGGTAATTAAAAAAAAGAAATATAATATTATAGGATGATTCTATTTGTTATTTAATTACAGTATGGATAGACTTGACTACAGAAGAAAATAGTGAAGCAGACAATTTTAGTAACATCGGGGAAACAAGTAAACAAATAAATAATGATTAAAGTTAACTAATCCGAGTAAGTAAAAAAAAAAATCATAAATAAATAGAACAATAATAATAAAAGTGAAATATCGTTACAGCGACCGCGTCTCAACACACTGAACATCGTCAAATCCATGTTGATGTCGAAGGTAATTAAAAAAAAGAAATATAATATTATAGGATGATTCTATTTGTTATTTAATTACAGTATGGATAGACTTGACTACAGAAGAAAATAGTGAAGCAGACAATTTTAGTAACATCGGGGAAACAAGTAAACAAATAAATAATGATTAAAGTTAACTTATCCGAGTAAGTAAAAAAAAAAATCATAAATAAATAGAACAATAATAATAAAAGTGAAATATCGTTACAGCGACCGCGTCTCAACACACTGAACATCGTCAAATCCATGTTGATGTCGAAGGTAATTAAAAAAAAGAAATATAATATTATAGGATGATTCTATTTGTTATTTAATTACAGTATGGATAGACTTGACTACAGAAGAAAATAGTGAAGCAGACAATTTTAGTAACATCGGGGAAACAAGTAAACAAATAAATAATGATTAAAGTTAACTTATCCGAGTAAGTAAAAAAAAAAATCATAAATAAATAGAACAATAATAATAAAAGTGAAATATCGTTACAGCGACCGCGTCTCAACACACTGAACATCGTCAAATCCATGTTGATGTCGAAGGTAATTAAAAAAAAGAAATATAATATTATAGGATGATTCTCTATTTGTTATTTAATTACAGTATGGATAGACTTGACTACAGAAGAAAATAGTGAAGCAGACAATTTTAGTAACATCGGGGAAACAGGTAAACAAAAACAAAAATAATGATTTAGGTTAACTAATCCGAGTAAGTAAAAAAAAAAATCATAAATAAATAGAACAATAATAATAAAAGTGAAATATCGTTACAGCGACCGCGTCTCAACACACTGAACATCGTCAAATCCATGTTGATGTCGAAGGTAATTAAAAAAAAGAAATATAATATTATAGGATGATTCTATTTGTTATTTAATTACAGTATGGATAGACTTGACTACAGAAGAAAATATTGAAGCAGACAATTTTAGTAACATCGGGGAAACAAGTAAACAAATAAATAATGATTAAAGTTAACTAATCCGAGTAAGTAAAAAAAAAAATCATAAATAAATAGAACAATAATAATAAAAGTGAAATATCGTTACAGCGACCGCGTCTCAACACACTGAACATCGTCAAATCCATGTTGATGTCGAAGGTAATTAAAAAAAAGAAATATAATATTATAGGATGATTCTATTTGTTATTTAATTACAGTATGGATAGACTTGACTACAGAAGAAAATAGTGAAGCAGACAATTTTAGTAACATCGGGGAAACAGGTAAACAAAAACAAAAATAATGATTTAGGTTAACTAATATACATTCATTCAACTCGGCTAACACGGTCACAATATATGTATCAGAAAGAGTACCGGTGACAATGGATTCGATCAATTACAGCAGTGTCTGCGACGACCAAAATATCGATAAAAATAATAATAATAAAAATATACAAAGCAACAACAACAGGGTTGATCAATTTAGAATATATCGACGTCTGGCCTCCGTCTCCGACACACCACACAGGAACCGCCGCCGACACAGCGATAAGAACTGGTGGTGCCATGTCAATGAACGGTATAATCAATTACACTAATTAAAATAACGCGTGCGGATAAGTACTAATAAATATGATCATATAGGTCAAATGGAAGCTACCGATGTGCCGAGTATAATCACATCAACGTCTGCTACAGACGTCCGCAATAACGATAATATGCAATTACAAACTCCGAACCGCAAGAATACAACCAACACAATTAATAATAATAATATGATTATACGTATAGTGATATTTAATTATATACATATATATATATTTATGTACATATATTATTCAACAGTTAGTAGTATAATCTAATTTTATTGGAATATGTACTTGTATTCCCGACACACAGTATATTTTAAATAACAATTTGCACTGAAATTACAATTTTAAATGAATCATGATTGAAGTACTATTATATTCAATTATTAAATGATAAATTAATTACAAATAAGTAGTAAAATGATAATTTAGTTATGAATTAATTTAAAATAAATTTTCATTTAATAATTAATTCAAAAGAAATTAATAAGTCGTTATATGTATGTATAGACATTTATTTAAAATAACAAATTTGCAAGGAAATTCCAATGTTTAAATGAATTATGTTTTAAACATTATTAGAATCAAATATTATTAATTAGTTTAAAATGAAATTAACAAATTGGAAAGTAAAATACAATTTTTTACCTGCTATTTAAGTTAATGTAGAATTTAAATTAAATTAACAAGCCGTGGTTCGACAGTGTCGCGATCTTTACCCCGTCCATGGCGGCCGTACGGATGACCAAATCGATGATCAAGTACGACCGGCCGTCATACGCGGGTTTCGCCGTGCTGGAGCTATCGAAATACATCCTGTACGACTTCCATTATGGGTACATGGTACCCAAATATGGCTCTAAAGCGCGTGTCATCTATGGAGACATGGATAGTCTGTTTTATTGGGTTGAAACCGACGATTTTTATGCTGACATGAAGGCTGATATCGACAAGTATGCACGGACCGCTTTGCCGGTCATTCACACAAAATTATATTTTCCCTAATAATAAACATGCCAAACCTATTCATTATTTTGTAGACTTTATGTATTATTTTTTGTATTGAGCACTTATTTTAAAATGGTTTTATACCTATTATACCTACATACCTATATTACCTATTATTCAGTTTGGATCTATAGATCTTACAAAAAAATGTTTGGAACAATTTTATAAAAATTAATATTATATTTTTTATAAACCTATTGTACCCATTACCTAGTACCTATAGGAATATTTTTATAAAATGTCTTCTAGAATTAAATATAAAATGCAATACTTAAATGAAAAATTATTTAACTTTAATTATCTCTATTCTAAGTTTAAATAATTTTATGTATTTTAAATGTGTATCAAAATCCAAATTATTATTTTTTTAATGGTTTAATAATTTGAATAATTGTATTCAACTAATTTATTCATAATCTGATGATAATTTATATTCATACATTATAACATCCCAGTTATTTATTTCATCAAATTTAATGTAAAATTCTTTAGATTTTAACTTATAAATACATAATATAAATTGCATAATAATAATTTTAAAATGCCTTTTATGAATCATTTATTTGATTTCATAGGTATTAAAATTTGATAGTATCATTTTTTTTGTTTAAGGTTGAAGACAACATTAATAGTAACTGTAATGGGATGGAATTTATGTCACAATTAATATCCCATGAATATCAGAGAAGTCCTGAGAAATCAGATACAATAAGTGTAATTTTAGGGACTCCAGAACACATTGTATTGGGCAATGAGGAAGGTTTGACTAATAAAGTGATTGATGATATTCCAAATACAAGAAAAATTAAAATTAGTGTAAAAGGTGACACGGAAGAATATCGTCAACACAAAAAAAAATAAAAGAAACTCTGGTCAAACATATACTACTAATAAAGGTAAAATAGTCAAAGCTCGATCTTCTAAGCCATTACTTAACTGTCGAGCCAAATGCAACACTAAAATAAGTGATACTTTACGTGAACAGTTATTGACATTTTATTGGCCAATGAACAGTTATAATAGAAGAGTTACCTATATTTCTAGTTGTATACATTTTACTGATACAAAAACTTCAAGAAAACGTCGAAGTACTCCTGATAAACAATAAACTAGAAATAAAACTTATCATTATTGTTGAAATGATCAATAAATAATTTATATTATATTCATCATAGAATGTAAGTTATCATTAATATTGTTTAGATAAACTTGTTTTCTTAATAAGCAAAATATTATGGCGTGATTTCATATTAACCAATCAAAGGTGTTTAAAGTAATTTGACGTCAATAGTATTATTGCTTTGTATACAGTTTTTTGTTCTAGAATATTTTTTTGGTCTTATATAAAAGAGAGATCTTAATAAGGAAAATATTATGGCGTGATTTCATATTAACCAATCAAAAGTATTTAAAGTAATTTGACGTCAATAGTATTATTGCTTTGTATACAGTTTTTTGTTCTAGAATATATTTTTGGTCTTATATAAAAGGGAGATCGGAGGATATCTTATTCTCTCATTTTTTCACATAGTATAACAAGTCTTTATTATTACTTTATATTGTATTTAGTATTAGTGAAATATTACTGTTTTATTATTATTATACAAGTTGTGTTTAATTCTTATTTTGTCTTGATCCACGTACATACACACCTCGATATCCAACAATTATTTTATTCCAAAAGATGGAAATTCAATATCTGTTTTAATGTTTATAAAACTACATTTACAATGTTGTTTTATAAAAATTTTCGGAGAAATGAATAAGTTAATAATGTTTGTAAACAAAAATTAGGTTCTCCTATCAATAAAACTTCACCGGATAAAAGGGGTAAAGCAAGTCCATCCAATAAAATTTTATCTGAAGATGTAAAGATGGTAGAACAACAATTACAAAAGAGAATTCCTAGATACATACTAATAATACAAATAAAGAATGTAAAAGTGGTTGTAATTTAATAATTAATGGAGATGGAGTGAACATAGTAAAAACATAACAAAATAACATAAATAAAATATTTATTTAAATGTATTAAAGGCAAAACTGTAGAAAAATCAATTTCTGTGGCTATTTCGTTGTCTATAGATAAAATCGATAAAGAGACCAAACGTTCATTAGCCATAGTTGATCGCAAATATGTTTTTATAAGATTTAATTTTGAGAAACTCCGCTCGCTAGCTACTGTCACTGGTAACGTCAATTATAATCTCAAAGCAATTTAAAGATTTGGAAATATGTCTTGGAGTTCAAAGTCAAAAATGTATTGAAGAATATTTAGAGGTGAAATTATGTCCAAACTTGAAATTAACAATTTTTTAATGTTCTGAATGTCTGTGCATAATTCGACACCATCAATATCAGAGTCAGATCCATCTTTAAGGTGATTGTGTAGATCTATACAATGTTTCAATAATTCATTTTCATTTCCAGGTGCCTTTTTTCAATCGTATAAAAAATTCCATACATTAACATGGTTCTATAAAAGTTCAATTAATGTGTAAAAAAATTCGTGTTCAAATTTTTCGACTGCAATTCTATGATCAGCGTCATCTGAACTCGCATAATCAAAGTTTTTTTTTATACGCCTCCGAACTACTCTTATTTCAGAATCTATCCCTAATTCTCCTGCTATTGCTTTTGCTTTTATCAAAATCTGATCAAATTATCTTTATAGTTCTTAAAAAACTCTAAAACACTTTTTAACATATTAGAACCATTTATCAAGTTCATTGTCGTCTTTGCTTGCATACTTTTACTGACTAGATTTACTTGAAAAAGAATATCGTACCAAACAACTAATGAAACTAAGAACTTAAAATCTGTAAGTTGACCAGCAAGCAAAACAGCTTCATGGCGCGTTCCAGCATCTATATTTTCGACTGTAGATAGTTGAATAAGCGCGTTGTAAATTTGCACAGTTTGCAAGCGAACAACTTTTACACTGTTGATTCTACTTTCCCATCTTGTATCACTCAGACGTTTCACAGTCAACCATGTTATAATGTCGGTTAAAATTTTCCATTGATTAACCGACGATGAAAATAAAACATAAATTCTTTGGAGTACGCCGAAAACTGTAATTGAATTTATAGAACTATATGCAGCATCTGATACAACTAAATTTAAAGAATGACAATTGCATGGAACGAAGGTGGCACAAGGATTCATTGATAAAACTCTCGCTAGAACTCCTTTTTTTTGCCCTTTCATATTAGCACCGTTATCGTATCCCTGCCCACGACAATCTTGAAAAGGAATATCTTTCTCTGCAAGGGTTTTTAGAAGAAGGTCTGTTAAACTCAAACCTGTGAGCTTTTTACCGTTTAAAACCCAATGAAATGTTCTTCAACTTAAATTTTACTTTTTATATTAACAAATCGTAGTGTAAATGATAGTTGTCCTTGATGACTAACATCTGGTGTACAGTCGAGGATTACAGAATAATATTTTGCTGCACGTAATCTATCTATTATTGTTTCTAAAACTTTATTGCCCATGAGATTAATTAATTAATTTTGAATAGAATGCTACAATAAAGTACGGTTTTTTCACGAGAAAGTGTTTTATGTAATAATTCTTTCGTTACGTCGTCATATTTACCCAAAAGCTCAACTAAACTTAAAAAATTCCATTATTTTGCGTATAAAATTTATCTGAACTTCCTCGAAACGCAAGATTATTCTTAGATAAAACCAAAGTTACTGATAACAAACGGTCTAAAACATTTACCCAATAATCAATTTCCATGTTCATAATTCGCTGGTGCTCTGCATCTATTGTTTTATTTAGTTTTAACCGTTTTTCTTTTAATTCTATTCATGTACCATAAGCCTTAAAATGATTAGGAGCTTTTTCGTGCATAGTAAGTGCAGTAGATATGTTATGTCAATCAGAAAACCCATCAATTGCCAAATTTTATTTTGGAGTTCTATCAAATAATTTACAACAGAAACAAAATATTTTTCCTGACGATTTTGAGTAAATTAACCAACGCCTAACTAATTTTTCTCTATTAGAAAGATGTCGATAAAAATAAATCTTAGAAAAATGTTTTTTTTCATGATCTTTTTGAATACCCGTTGAGATTCAATCAGTTTTAATTTTTTTTAAACCAATTGTTACTTTACTTTAATCAAATGTATTTAATAAAAATTATGGACTATCTAATATATGTGTAAAAATATTTGATTTTATTAGTTATTGTAAACGGCTATACTGTGATTAATAGGTATTCGATTAGCCGATAAGTGATAACATAATATAATATTATGTTATATGGTTCTGTGGTTTCTTTATGGTATTAATACTAGGGTTTTATGAATATTAATTATTAAGAAATTGTTATCACTTATCATTTATCAACATTAGTACCTAATTGCCAACTGGTATCACTTTTCAAAACGACTAAAAAATATTAAAAATGTAATGTTTTCTTTTTAGTATTAACTATTTAGTTATTTATATAATTTGTTTAAAAGAAGTTACGGCCAACAGGTAAATTAAAACGTATTTATGTAAAATTATCTTTAATGAATTAAAATTTTTTAATATCTATATATTATTTTGTTTAGACGTTATGAGTTTTTTGAAGTATAACTTTACCAAAAATCCAAAGAATGATTAACCTACACATAAAGTTTTTACCAGTACAATTAAATCAAATATTGACTTATCATAGTCATCCACAGTTCCTGTTACTAAACCTACTGATTATATAGATAATAATTCTTATCCTAATTGCTTGGACTCCAAAATAGAGTTTTTTCTAACGAACCAATAAAACTACAAGCTATTTTTACTGAGCTGTACGACAGCCTCTTTCTGGCGAACAATAATTTAAACCCTGACTTTCTAAAATCTTATATTAATTTTAATTTGGGTAGCTCTATCATAGCCACCTGGAACGGGGCAATTAATAAAAAAAAAATATTAGACCATTTAGATATACAGAACTTAGTTCTAAACGTTCGAGCATACGATATCTTTAAAGATAGTATGTTTTATTTAATAATAAGTGAGTTAAAGTATAAACAGGAGTTATGCAGATTTGGCATAGGTAGATTTCAAAAAGACGGTAGGACCCTAAGTTTATTAGAAACGCAGAATAAAATGTGTGAAAATACTCACCGATTTACGCAGGCCAACGATCCGTCGACAAATGTGCTGCTTACAGAACTGTACGACAGTCTCTTTTTAGCAGATAATAACTTAAATTCAGACTTTCTAAAATCATATATTAATTTTAATTTGGGTACCTCTATCATAACTACTTGGAACGAGTCAATAAAAAAAAAAATATTAGACCATTTGGACATCCAAAACATAGTCCTAAACGTTAGAGCGTACGATGTCTTTAATGATGGGATGTTTTATTTGATCATTAACGAATTAAGAAGCAAAAGAGAATTATGCCGATTTTGCATAGGTAGACATCAAAGGGACGGTAGGGTCTTAAGTCTACTAGAATCACACAATATAATTTGTAAAAACACTCACCGATTCATTCAGGCAAACGATCCGACAACAAACATGCTTATTTTAAAATGCATTTTCGATGATGTAATCCGAAGATGGTCGTACGAAGGTTTCACAAAAATACTAGGGAAAATGTATAATATTTTCTACCGTAGATATGGACTTAATCGCGCTGTGAACGTTGTCCGCATAACACGTGTTAACTTAACTCCTCATTAATGAAATTATCTCAGCTTTTTTCACAATTTTTTGTGCTCTTATGTGGTATTAAAAAATCACCAGAAAAAGTTCTTTAAGATACGCTAATCAAAACTTTGGTTGGACCATCTTCGATCACATTATAACAAATAAACTGGTAATTATAATTACAAATATAAAATACTGCAGCGCGCTGCTTATCGCTAACGACTCCCCGGCTATCGGTCGGCGGCAGTCATCCGTTTATCAAAACCAATAATTTATCGATAACGACGCACAATGTCACATACTCCTAAACCGCCAAAAGATCGCACCGCTAATACAAATACAACAAAGCCAAATTATATTATCACTTCGACGATAAATGATCAATAGAGCAGCTCTCATAAACCAGTCTCTCCTCTTAAATTATCTAAAGTAAACACCACAAATGTATTAGTCAACACAGAACCCAGCTGGGTCATTAAAACCAGTCCTGGGTCAATCTTCCCCAGGACTATCACGCAAAGCTAAATAAAATAAAACGGATAACCCATTCTCTACTCCAAACAGATACCAGGCCCTCAATGATGTTGAGGACGACACATGAATGAATACTGAAACATCACCTACGCCTCCTCCACCACCACTAATATTTATTGTCACTCCGGTAGACTACATTAAATTATGTAGCGAATTAAAAACAACTATTGGAGAAGAGGAGGAGTTTGTTTGCAAATCTACATCAAAAAATCTTAAACTTTCCGTACAGTCATCAAACTCATACCGAAAAGTAGTCAAACTACTTAATGATAACTGTATAGAGTATTATACTTATCAATCAAAAGACCTGAAACCGTACAGGGTCGTGTTAAAATATTTCCACCATACGACAACCCCCGAATATATTACCGAAGAACTGTCGGCCTAGGGTTTTTCTGTAAGAAACGTAATCAACATTAAAAAAAAACCGACCAAAGAGCCGCTATCATTATCGACCTCAACGATGCGCCGAATAATCCAGATATATTCAAAATAAAAACTTTGTGCTTCTCTAAAATAAAAATCGAGGAAACTCATTCTCGTCGTGACATTCCTGTGCCACAGATGCCAAAATTATGGCCATACACGATCTTACTGCAACCCAGGTGTGTTCGATGCGGCCAAGAGCACCTTTCCGATATGTGTCAAAAAACAAAAGAGTTACCAGCCACATGCGCACTATGTTGAGAAGGACATCCTGCCAACTATAAAGGATGCGTCAATCACAAACAGCTCCAAAGGTCTAGACATATGCTCAAGTCTTCTCAACCACCTATGTACCCACAAGTCTCAACTGCTAATAATGTAATGGTAAGCCACCCAGCACTCAACCTCAACACTATTCTTACTCTGACGCGACTAATAATAAAAATCAACAAAATACCTCATCCAACGATTCCTCACTTTCCTCCCAATTGCCTTCCTTTCTTGAGAACTTCCAATCTCTGTTCACACCATTAATTAATCTTCTAACAACTGTCATAAACAAAATTATAGCTAAAAATGACGCATAATATTAGTGTAAATACCCCGCTAACCATCCTCTTTTGGAATGCCAATGAACTTAAACAGCACAAAAATGAGTTTCAATTCATATTAAAAGATAAAAATATTAACATAGCCTTGTTTCTGAAACTCATTTTACCCCCAACTCATGTACGATTTTTTTTGGATACAAGGCTTATTTTCTTGTATCTTGTCATCCAGATGGTACAGCCCACGCTGGCTCAACAATATAAATTAAATCTAATTTGGATCACTCTCCATTACCTCCATATCCGTTTGCTTTAATTTATTTGTTTTTAAGTCGTAGGTAATCCGAACGAGCCCTTTCCTTAAACCCGTTCGGATTAACGAGACCATACTTTAGGTACTATAATATTATATAATTATTAACTTAGTACCTATTTATTAGTAACTATGATATTTATTCAGTTTCCTATTTCAAAAAAAAAAAAAATTTTAACAGGAGGTACCTGTATATGTTGTTTTACATAAGTATGAACTATGAACAACACAAATAAATATAACAGTTATTTTTTCCCCACACAAAAAATTAATTTTTTTTTTAGTTTAATTAGGTATAACTCATACGAACTTACCTATAGTTTAAGATATTGAATTTTATGTGTTACAGATTATTTTCTGAAGCTGGTACCATTTATGAAGACAAGAGAAACAGATTGTTACACAGAAATGCAGAAAAATTGCTTTTTTTACGTAATAATCTTTCAAACACCTCAAACGTAAAATTTTTATTTTGATATATGTATAGTTATCATTGTGTTGTATAATTCAGTTATAGATTTTTTTTGTACCTATTAAAATTTAAAAGTTTATAAATTATAAAGTTATCATAAAGTTCATAAAAAGTTAAATTGACTATGAAAAGTTCTCCTATAATAATCAATAATTCAGTTAGTAATATGAAAGGATCTCATATTATCTAGTCATTGTATTGTATAATTTAGCTATAGGTTTATCTTGTACTGTAATGGTCAGATCTCCTTGAGATTATTGGCCATGGTACGTGGATTACAAATATTGCTTACTGTTGTTTTGGGTAACTTTTAATTAATGTGTAATACTTAGTTAGCATTTAAGCATTATATTATTGTACTCAATTCTGTTTAAATGACGTTGTTAATACTTGTTTTCCAAAAGTATTAAGAATACTTAGCTTGCATTCTTTGTACTATAAAACCCCAAAAGAACAGCGAGTATCCATTCAATTGTTTTGTCTTGCTTCACCTGAGCAAGTTGCCGTTTGTGTAAAAGTTATATATTAAATACATTGAATCAATCCTACCTTGGCAGTTCTTATTGCTTACTACAGTTTTAACACTGTCCAAGATAGTATTTGGCTTGGACTCTACAGTTCATTACAGTACCTATTACAAGTTTGTAAATGGCTTAAGATTATAATTTATAACCAATACATTTTATAAAGTGTTGTTAATTGTTAAATTTTTTTTAGATTTATAAATAGTTTATAAATGGTTTAAAATTATTAGAATAGTCAATAGATACATTTTATAAAATGTTATTAAGTTAAATCGATTAAGAAAAGCTCTCATATAATTAATTAGTAATACAAAAAGATCTTATACTATCTTGTCATTTGTACAGTATAACTTAAAATAATTTTTATTTTATAAATAGTAATAGTTTATAAACAGTTAAAATTTTTAAAAAATACATTTTATAATTTGTTATGAAATAAAATTATTTTTGAAAAGTACATATTGTTGTACGTCTTTAATCTTTATAGCTTATACTTAATTTGATCTATTTATTATTTGGTTTACTTAGTATGAAGATCTTATTATTAACTATTAAGTATATTTTAATATTTGTTATCATTCATAATCAATATTTATTTATTTTTTAGGTACGGAAAATGTGTTGCTAAAACTTTGAGCCGACAGATTTAATGTTTCAAAAATTTACTTCATCAACAATGCAATCAGATGGCAACAATGATCAGGAACGTTTACTAGAAAGAAGTACTCAATTGCTGCCTATACCAAAATTTCTGGTGCCCCTTATTTTAAAAACGTAATTTTTATACAAAAATTAGTGATGGGCATAATCGAGATATCTCGATTATAATAAAAATAATCGAATAATTTCGAATATAAGTAAAATAATCGATTTTTCTCTCGATCTCGAAATGTTTTGAATTGTTGATTGTCAATTGATATTATTTTATTATTTTTATATTACTAAAACTTTTCCCATGACTGAATCCCGCTAATTTCCACTTTTACCGAAACGACTATGTTATCGCTGTCAAAAAAATATGGCCGACGTCGACGTATAATGTTATTACTTATTACTGTAGATACTTAAAACGACCGATGGTCAGATTATTTAAAATCCACCGATATCCATAAAATACAGTATAGAAATCCAATCTTTTTTAGTGAAGACATGGTGGTAAATGCACAGCCCTTTTTTCATCAGACAAATGTCCATTGTCTTAGAAAAAAAAGCTTTCTATACAAATTGTCTAAGTTTTTACGTTGCATGTTCTCACTAAATATTTCAACGATTTCCATTTCATCAACCACATATCATTTTTCTAAAACAACTTTCATTCTTAAATCCATCTGAAATACAAAATATCATGTCTATAGGTAAGTTGTCTCATATTATGAACACAAATTAAATATTGATCTCAATGATATTGATAGAGAGTGGAGAGGCTTAAAAACAATGGACCTAAATTTTAAATTAGATTTAACTGAATTCTGGAAAGTTATTATGACTATGAAAAATGGAGATAATAATCATACATATCCGTTACTGACAAAATTTGTTTCATTTCTTTTAATTCTCCCACACAGTAGTGCATGTGTGGAACGAATTTTCAGTGCTATTAATTTAAATAAAACTAAAACTCGCAACAAATTATCAACTGAATCTTTATCAGGTATTTTACATTGTAAAAATATTTTAATAACACAAGATAAGTCATGTTATAATTTGACATTAGAAATGTCATGTTAAAAAAACATAATAATAATATGTATGAATGAAAAGATGAACAAATGAATTTTATATTTTATATGAATTGTAAATAGTAATTTTTTTGATAAAGCTTTTCTGGCAAAATTAGTCAACTAACTTAGATATTATACAAATTTCCACATAACTAGATTTAAGAAAAAAAAATGTATGTATATATATATATATATATATATATATATATCTTTGGTCCCGGGTAGAAAAGGCTTAAGTCAATTTTACCAATTATTTTGCCAACGGTTATCGTCTAACTCGATTTATTAATTAACTTGTTTTTTTTTTTATAATTATATGAACCAGTTGTCTTAGCAATTTGTTTAATTTTTTTATTTATCCTTAATGCTTAAACGAATAAAAATGTATTTTATATTGTGCCATGTTTGATTTTATACCTCAAAAGAATGAGTTTATTCAATATTATATTTAATATTTATGCTAAGTTTGTGAACATTTGTATTACACATATTGAGTAGACAACATACAATTGACATTGTATTTATATTATAAGATTATTTTTTAATTAAGTATATTTAATATAATTAACTGTCATGAAATGTAATATTCATTTTCTAATAAAACATTTCACATTCTAAAATAAAAATGACTAATATGTTTTTGTTTTTTGGATAGTTTCAGTGTTGAATGGCTCTGGTCAAATATGTGACCTATCGTAGAAATTTAAAGGCAATGTGTAACCCACCATCAAAAATTGACCTACCTTGTTAGAAAAAAGAAAAAAGTAAAGTGTGAATCATGAAAAATGAATTTCTCACCAGACAGTGAATATACAGGATACATACACCAGACGATATATCTGTGGTCATTTAAATAGTTGTAGGCTCTTCATTTTTCACTGTGGAAAGTTGAACCAGTTTTCACTTCTGCCTGAATTATTAAGTTAAGCTAAGGTAGTAAAGTTGCTCCGTCACGTTTGTTTACTGTAAAATATCGTCTTTCCAGCATACAATGACGGTGTTCCCACACCGTCATCACCGATGACCGATGTTGTCCCCAGCATGGTCCAAAAACTCAAGGTCCTTGTATTATTTTCCCATAATTTCTTACTTGTTGATCATTTTCTCATAGTTTTCTCTGTGATTTTCATCACTGCTTTTATCTTGTTGAAGTGGTTGTATTTCAATATTTTCTTGGAACAAATGTACTTTACCGGGCACCATTTTTTTCGATTTTTTTTTTTAATCAATAGTACCAAGTTCCAGTTAGAATCTGGAATAATGGAAAGCATTATGTTTTTTACTTAATGAATTTCTCTAAAGATTATGATAATATTACCTGGTTGACTAAATTGTGTAGGGTGGCTAACTGAATTTTACATGAACTGTATTATACTAGCATAATACAGTTCATGTAAAATTCAGTTAGGTTAGGTTAGGTCGTAGCGTTTGTCGTCGTCGTAAGTGTGCCAGTAAACGGATCGTCGCCGTCAATACTTTGTGTCGCCATTGGTCGTTGCCGTGGTTGTGTGTATTGGGGTTTGCCGTTTAGCCGCCGCCGTCGTTACTGTGTCACCACCGGCCAGTGTGAGCTGCCAGTCAAGGTGTCCAAGTCAGAGTACTAGTTTTTGTCGTTTATTTTATTATAAAATAATTATTATCAACATTATTATTATACCTTGTTGATATTACATACTAACACTAGTTTTAAGTATATTGATGTTTATACTGAACTTTGGCAATAGTAGTTGATTTTTATACAGTCCATTTAATTAGTTAAATTTTTTTTGTTCCTTTCTCCCCTTTTCGTTTCTCTCTAAACCATTTATTCCTATCCGGCCTAGACGGGTTTTCTCCCGGCAAATGAGTTACCTGTCGGGAATACGCGTCGCACATTTTGGTCCTTCGGGCCGGATAATTAGTCGAGTTGCTTTTGCATTTTGTTGTTGTCATGCCACGTAAAGCTAAGGCTAATAAGTCCGACTTTTCGGTCGTCCGTCATCGTTTGGCGCGAGACCGTACTTTTAAGTCGATTAAAGATATTCATGCGTTTGCGGTAAACGCTAAAACTAACCTGGCCGATTTGTCCGTGTTGCCCGGTCGTGTTCGTGTGCTCGAGCAATTTGTGGAACGTTTTCGAAATGAACAATCATTGATTATCGGGGCGCTTGTCGACTCAAACCGTGGTGATGAATTTGAGCTCATTGATTCACCTTTGTCTGATTCTGTCGACGCTATGTATTTTGACATATGTGATATTGCGGCTTCCATTACTTCGACTCCACCAGCTACGTCGACTAGTTCTCGCGTCGAAACTGGTCACATGTTGCTGAAGATTGAGCTGCCCAAATTTGATAGTTGTGTCACTCAATGGCGCTCATTTCGGGACACGTATGTGTCATTAGTGCATAATAATCAAACTATAGATGACATTTCTCGATTTCATTACTTCATTGTCTATGTGTCTGGTCCAGCGGCTTCAATCGTTAAGTCCGTGCCTCTGTCCGCCGAAAATTATCCTGTTGCTTGGACTGCATTAATTGACCGTTTCGATAACCAACGCCTATTGGCTACGGCGCATATTGATCAGTTGTTCGCATTTAAGCCTATTGTTCACGAGTCTCTAGCGTCATTAACTTCGTTCGTAAATACCTTTCAAGAGAATATTGCTGCATTAAAGACACTCGGTGTGACGGATCTTGCTGGATTCCTACTTTTCCACATCAGATTTCGAGTCTTGGATTCAACTACTCGGCGGTTTTATTTAAGACAATGCCCCGCCTTACCAAATACCGGATCTTAATTCTTTGATCACATTGTCCAAAGACGTTGTTAAGTCTTAGAGAATGTCAAAGGCAATGTATTGAATTAGTGTTTAACTCTTTGAAGAAAGATATTTGTATAAAGGAAAAAAAATGTATTTGCTCTATTTTTTATTTTTTATCAACTTTTTTTACAATAAAATACTGTTAACTAGTTATAAATAAATGTTGAAAAATTATAAATAATTGATTCTGCGAGAACAATGATTCATGCTAATAAAATGGATTTATCATTTTGGGCTGAAGCAGTTAATACGGCAGTCTACAAGATAAATCTAATTGGTAAAAGTTCTGTGGAAGGTAAGTGTCCATATGAATTATTTTATAATAAAATGCCAGATATAAAACATCTGAGAGTATTTGGGACAAAAGTGTTCATACATATTCCCAAAGAGAAACGTCAAAAATTGGATCCTAGAAGTGAATTAGATATTTTCGTAGGGTACTCAATTGACAAGAAAGGATATCGTGTATATCTAGAACAAAAACGAATTATAATTGATTCTAGGAATGTCGTATTTAAAAACGAATGTCATAATAATTTTTATGTATCGTTATATGAAAGTGATTTAGATATTCAACACGATACTTCACAACGACCAGCAGCGGACAAGTCACAACGTGAAGAACCACGTTACGACTTACGTGACCGTGGTCAACTACGAAAACCTGACAGATACACCGCATGTACAGCGAAAGGTATGAAACCAATAAATTATTATTATGCGATCAATGGTGAAAACAGTCATGAATGGACAGAAGCCATGAATGACGAGTTAAATTCACCCGCTGTAAATAATACTTGGCAGTTAATAGACAGACCGACAGACAAAAATATTTTAAATAATTCTTGGGTATACAAGGTTAAATATGCGAGTAACGGAGATGTTGAACGTTATAGAGCTAGGCTAGTAATAAATGGATCAAGGCAGCAATACGGTATAGATTATAATGAGACATCTCACCTGTAGTTCGTTTTAAGTCTATTAGGGCACTTTTAGCAGTCGCAGCCAAAGAAAAGTTGAAATTAAAACAATTTGACATAAAGACAGCATTTTTGAATGGGGTTCTTGAGGAACTAATTAACATGTCTCAACCAGTGGGGTATGATGATAAATCAGGTCGAGTATGTAAATTAAACAAGAGTCTTTATGGATTAAACAAAGTTCACGATGTTGGAATCAAAAATGTACAGAATTTTTATTATATAACCACAGCTCGGCACTGCATGTCGCAGAAATGCGCTGTCAAAGAAAAAAAAAGCGGCCAAAACTAGCGGCATTACCATGACCGTGTTCGGCGTTTGTTGGCTGCCATTTTTCTAGTATTATTCGTACTTACCGTTTTGCAAATCATGCTGTTCCGAGTCTAAGGTGATCATAAATGTACTTACATAGTTGGGATACATGAGCTCCACCATCAACCCCGTCATTCTGATATGGCGCAATAACAAATTCTGGAAAATCCTGCACATGGATTAGTCAAGATGAATTAGTGTTTAACTCCGTCATTTACCAAATCAACTTCAAGATGTCAAAATTCTATCAATTATTTCAGGAATATGGAATAAAGATATTAGTATAGAATATTTACTAGACGATCTAACAATGTGATCTCATGCCAACAAACATTTATTTTATCATTATTTTCACAACTATACAAGAACAAAAAATTCTTTTAAAACATTAGATATATCCTTTCAAACACTTAGAAAACTTGGGACCGCGCTGTATCTCTTCTGTCACCCGTCGACACATTGTGCGACACTCGGTTGTGAACTTACTGTTCCACCGTCTAGTTGGAGAGTGCAAAGTCCACACCAGGGAAAACGGCCGCTACTAAAGCTCAGCGGTACCAACTCTACGGAATTTTCCGTAGATTTACGGATTTACAGAATTTGTATACAATTTACGGATTTTTTGGATTCCCCCGGGAAAACGCCCCTTCCAGATCATCCACATCGATCACCTCGGACCGTTCGAAACCTCTACGTCGAATAACAAATATCTGTAGGTATTGGCGAACAATCTTACCAAATATGTCCACCTGTATCCATGCAGGACCACCGACGCTGAGTTATAGCATTTTGGTTAATTTTGTCAATTTATAATATGTTATCACTATCATTATGTTTGTTTTATTAGTTATGTT